GTATGGGGCCCTAGTATTGGTACATGTTGTACCCTTTCTGAGTTTAGCGGAGACTATGGTTGGTGCGCTCCGCTTCCATGAGAGTCGCTCGGTGTGTGGGATGCATCCCGACTTTGGCCAATAAACGATTTGAAGATTTGGCTATTTCCGACCATTTTCTTTTAATTTCTTTGTGTATTTGTTATTGAATTCAATAAAACTACACTCTTTAAAGATATTAAGTACCCCCTATAATGGGTTTGAGTGTAGTAAGAGCAATTTCAACGGCAAGCTAATTTAACAATTAGTTTGGCATGCCACATAAGCGTTAATTGTCATTATAGCTACTTTGAACTCCAATGACTAGCTATTAGCTTACAATTTATATGAATTTCACCTCCTTAATTAACTTTTTATATTTTATTTTATTGATTTTATTTTTTATTGTGTTTTTCTAAGCTATGCCCCCACGGTTATTGAGTTTCTAAGTGTGGGGAATAATTTCAAGCGTTAATCCCCTATCTTGAACCCCACTGTGATCATACACTTAAGTACGGTGGCGTCCAAAAGGGAAGAAGATAGAACAAAAGAGTCGCCAACAAGTTTTAGGAACTTGTAAACCGTTCACAGGGTGAAGGTTACACCCCTTAACGATCCAAGAGATCGTCAACTCCAATAAGGTCTTAAACCAAATAAGGGTTCGGGGATGAAGGTACAAATCCAATCTAAAAGAGATTGAACCTGCCCTAATAACAGGCCTCTACTTTATTCTGATCGTATTCATGTGCGCTTTTTAATTAACATGCAATCAATACGATTAACTCTAAACCTGTTTATCTATGTTGGTTGAATATTAATGCACAAATAAATCTATTATTGGTGATCACTTGAAATCATAATCAAACTAACCCTAACAAGATTATTAATTATCTTATTAAGCGTGATTACAAGTATTAAATTCCCTTTAAACATGCATAAAAGGTATGATCAAGCAACAACAAATAAATAAGCATCAAGCAACATGATAATAATAAATATCATCATAATAACAATCATAACAATAAAATTTTAATCATAATCAAAACAATAATAATCATAAATAAAATAATCATCATTAGAATAATAATAATAATAATAATAATAATAGTAATAATAATATTCATCATAAATTATAACAATTATAATCATAATCATGTTCATGTTAATATTAAAACATAATAACGATAGCAAGATCCTAGGCATGATACTAACAAGATTAATAACAAATTCTAGCATGTCACTAAGCAATAAAAATCAAATCTTTAACCCTAACATGATACTAACAATCATAAATATTAGGAAGAACATAGGAAGCATCATAACAATCATATTTAATATTAAAATTACCCTAGACATTATACTAGGAGTATCATAATAACAATTTAAACATGATCTCTACATCAATCAAAAGTCATTAAAGTACTTACTTTGATGTCTCGTACCTCTTTCTAATAACAAAATACACACGTTAGTAACTTCAAGGAAAATAATAAAATCAAACAATTAAATTAAATAATAGAAAGAGAGATTAGGGACCAAACCTTCATAAATTAAACCTTTCACGTCTAGGGCGAAGGCAACTTCGAATATGGCTAGGTGTTTCTAGATCTTGCGAATGCGGAATTTTGTATGTAAAAGACTAGGTTTAGAAGAGAGAGAGAGAGATAAATGAAGGATTAAGATGGATGAATGAATTAGAAGAGAATGGAATTGAAAACTGATTGTAGGTGAATATAGATGAATATTGATGAGAATTGGTGAATGATTAAGAGAGAATTAGAGAATTAATGATTGCGAATGAAAACTGATTGCAGGTGAATGAAAATGGAGTTTTTAATACGTTATTTATAGAGAAATCAGCCAAAAAGATAAAATATCAAAACTGAACACTTGGCGCACGTAAAACAGAGCTGGCGCACGCAAAACAAAGCTGGCGCCAGCACCAGCTGATTGGCGCCAATGGCTAGCACCAGGCGCCAGGCGCTAGGCCTGGTTCCAGGCGCCAATGCCTGGAGTCAGGCGCCAGGCCTGTTTTTGACGCGTTTTCGAAAATCAGATAAGTTTGTCGTACTGGAGGATAAAATCGTATCTTTTCCTCGAAAGCAGTCACACATGCTCCCCGCACATGTGGTTACTGTTCATAAGAGGGATAGGTGAAACCTTTTAAGAGGTGAGGATTCCAAATTTTTATGATATCAATTGTAGAATGTAACTAAACTTAGGGGTCGTTTGGTTGGGGGTATTCAACAAAGGGAATGGGAATCAACTACCATGAATCCATTCCCTTTGTTGATGTTTGATAGACAAAATCAATCATTCCCTTTACCCCTCCCATTACCCCATTTTCCTCTAGCTTCATTCCCCCCCCCCCCCAAGGGAATCACTCAAACCCCCAAATTCCTCTTCACCCAACTACCTTGACCAAATTTCTAACTACCTTGACCACTCTTAAAACACCAACTGACTATCGATGCCACCGCCTAGCCACCATCCAGCCACCCTAACACCACCAGAACCACCGCCTAGCCACCCTAACACCATCAAAACCACCGCATAGCCACCATCCACCCACCAGAACTACCAACTGTCCACCTGAACCACCGCTAACCACCATAACATCGTCGACGCCCCTGCCGCCGCCATTCAGCCACCATCGAAACCACCTAATTAAAACCAACATTCACCACCGAAACCACCCAAATCCACCCGGAAAAAAAAACCCATCTTTCCCAAATTACCCAACTTCATTCGAAAACCCTCACCCACCACGTTCACCACTCATTATCCACAAAATAACCACACCCACCATGGAAACCACTACAAAAACCACCCTAAAAACCACCCAAAAACCCTAACCATCTCAACAAAAAAAAAACCCATAAACAACCCCCAAACACCCAAAAACAACATATGAAACTCTATTAACAATCAACCTAGTAGATCTATCAAACAAATCACTTAAAAAAGAGAGAGAAGAGGGACAACATCAACAATTAGAAGGAAAAGGGGTGGCGGTGCGGGGGACGAGGGAGGGCGACGGCACGGTGGACGAGGGGCGTAGGTCGCCGGCAGGGAGGGGTGGGGACCAACGAAGTTGGTGGGGGATCTCACCGCCGCTGGGGGGAGGGGGTTGGAGTTGGTTGTTGGCAGTGAGTTGGTACTTCCATGTGAAGTTCCCTTTCATTCCCTTTCTCCTTTGTGAACAAACAACATATAATAAATAGGGGAGTTGTTTTCCATTCTCCACTCTTTCCCTTTCTCTTAGTCATTGTCTTTCCTCTTGGTGAACCAAACGACCCCTTAATCTTTAGTGAACGCTTAATACTACGGAGTAGTAAGCGAAGATATTACGGAGTATATAGTTACTCAGGAACCATTTGCATTAAAGTGATTCTCTAATTCTTAACAGTTTCCAATGCCGATGAGTTGAAAAACCAAAGTCCTGAGATTATTTTGAAAGTTTTGCTCCCTTGCTCTACTCTATATGGAGTAGATTGACAATTGTCTTTTGGCCTTCCTAAGGTTTATTAAATTATTCAAAATCTTAATTGACTATATTTATTTTATTAGTTCGTTGTATAAAATATACGAAGTACGAGTATAATTTAGCTTAAATACTACTACCTCCATCTCCAAAAGAACAATCGATTTGACCTAATTTTAGTCCCAAAAAGAATGACCCATTTGCATTAAAACACCCACCAATTTGCAACAATATTTGTGTAAAATTAGCTTCCCCATATAAAAATTTGATTTTCCAAGTAATTTTATTACTTTCTCTCTCTGTTTTTTACAAACCCCATGTAAATTTATATTTTCAATATACTTTTACTTCTTTTTATTTAACTTTCTTAATACCCGCGTAATCAACCCAAATGGGTCGTTCTTTCGGGGACTGAGGGTATACTCCGTAATTTATTTATTTTTGACACGTACTCCTTAATTTTATTTTATTTGTATTTTTTGACACATACTCCGTAATATTTTCAAACTCCTTATATATAAATTTAAGAATTATATGGTGTTAATAAATCATTCCTAAAATTGGAGTACTCCCTCCGTCCCTAAACTACATTTTTGTTTGTAAAATTACATAGGAATTAAGGAGGAAAGAATAAGACAAATAACAATAATGAAATATTTCAATGGAAAATAAAAAATATTAAATGATGTCTTTGAGTAAAACAAAGATAGATTAATGATTAATGATGTCATGTCAACAATCCTTTGCAAAGAAAAGGACCAATAACATGCTTCTAATTGAAAATTAAGAACCAATCACATTCATTAGGTTAGTTATGGGAAGTACAAACTTGAGAAAACGATGGAGAGAGAAAATAAGAGTGAGATTAGGATAGTAAGAGTGAAAAAGCATTAAATATACAACAGAAAAAGAGAGTTGATTTGGGATATTTGGAAAAAAAAAGAAATGGAAAGGAGGAATGTAATTTTGGAATACCCAAAATAGAAACCAGGAATGTAATTTACGGACGGAGGGAGTACAAATTATTATAGTATGAGAGTTACACTCCAATTTTAGGGATTCAGATGCATTAGGAATTCTCCTCGTGAGAAGGGTTTCCTAATGTTTTTCCTTTTTTAAGAGAGATAACTTAAAGTAAAGGTGTTTATTCTTTTTTTTTCCTTCCAGATGAACAGAATTATCTTAAAGAACATTAGAGTATTGTTGTCTTGAACATCCAGATTAAAGGCGACAATCTCTTAGTCATCAATTTCGATACATACATTCATAATCTTCTCAACCTTTTGAAAGTTAGAGCATTCATCTTCTCTACTAAGAGGCAAATCAAGTAGCATTAAGGGCCTATTCTCATAAGTTTATTTTCAGTTCAGTTCAGTTCAGTTAAGCTCCTAATTTCCTTCTCTTATAAAATATTCAGTTCAGTCTATGAGAACAGGCCCTAAGTATAATTCTCACCTCTAGCACATTTAGAATTATTTCTAAAACTCTGGCGAACAAGATGAAGCCGATGCTTGGGTCTCTTATTTTGATTATTCTGAGAGCTTTTGTCCCTAATTGTCTAATTACGGACAATGCTCTCATTGCTTTTGAGGTTTTCCATTCTATGAAGAGACGGGGGGAAGGTCGGGATGGTACGGTGGCTCTAAAACTTGATATGAGTAAGGCATATGATAGGGTGGAGTGGAGTTTCCTAGAATGTGTGATGCAAAAATTGGGGCTCCTGTCATCTTGGATTGCCCGGATCATGAGTTGTCTTTCGAGTGTGTCATCCTCCTTCAAGTATAATGGGAGCATTTCGGGTTCTCTTACTCCTTCCCGAGGGTTACGTCAGGGTGATCCTATTTCCCCGTATTTGTTCCTATTTTGTGCGGATGCGTTCTCTACTTTGCTATCTAAAGCTGCGGAGGATCATCTTATTCATGGGGTTCGAGTTAGTAGGGGGGCTATGAGGGTTTCCCACCTTTTCTTTGCAGACGATAGTATTTTATAAAGCAACATTGCAAGAATGCTCTAAAATTGCTGATATTATCAGTACGTATGAAAGAGCATCCGGTCAGAGTGTCAATCTAAGCAAGACTGAAGTGGCTTTTAGCAAATGTGTTCCGATAAATCAAACACTAGAAATTGTGGAAAAATTGGGTGTGAGAGAAGTTGACAGACATGAGAAGTATTTGGGTTTGCCTACTATAATTGGGAGATCAAAGAAGGCAAATTTCTGTAGGATTAAAGGAGCGCATATGGAAGAAGTTGGAGGGATGGAAAGAGAAGTTGCTATCTAGGCCGGGCAAAGAGGTCCTCATCAAAGTCATCACTCAAGCCATTCCCACTTATATGATGAGCATTTTTCGGATTCCGGATGGACTAATTGATGAGATTCACTCGATTTTTGCTAAATTCTGGTGGGGTACGAAGGGGGATGCGCATAAAATGCACTGGCAGTCTTGGGATTCCTTTTGTCATCCTAAGACGATTGGTGGGATGGGCTTCCGAGACTTGAAATTCTTTAATCAAGCAATGTTGGCGAAGCAAGCATGGAGGTTGAGTACGGAATGTAACTCTCTGCTAAGTGGAACTCTTAAGGCTAGGTACTACAAGAATTCAGATTTTATTGAGGCGGCTAGAGGCTATGACCTAAGTTATAGCTGGAGATCGATTTGGGGGTGCAAAGTCCTTGTTATTGGAGGGTCTAAAGTGGCAGGTGGGAAATGGCTTTGATATTAAAGTCTGGGAGGACCACTTGGCTTCTAGGTCAGGGGTCGTATGGTGTTCCAACTCCAACCTCGAATTGCAATCGGAATTTACGGGTGGCAGATATAATTAATTATGAGAGTGGGGATTGGTATTTGGAATTGATTAATGCCACCTTTATAGAAGAGGATAAAAGGGTTGTTTGTGATATCCCTTTATCTGATTTTAAGCCAAGGGACTCTCATCTTTGGTGTCCTACATCTTCTGGTGTGTATACAGTTTGAAGTGGGTATTGGCTTGGGAGATTGGGTAGAATGAGGACTTGAGAGCTGTACCATGAGACTAGGAAGAAAGATGGGTGGAAGGTAGTGTGGAAAATCCGGGGTCCAACTAAGCTATGCCATTTTCTTTGGAGAGCTTGTAAGGGTCAGTTGGGTGTTATGGATATCCTCTATCGTCGCCACATTGTAGGGAGTAGTACGTGTTCAATCTGTGGGCATAGTGTTGAATCAATTTTGCACTCTATGTTTGAGTGTAAGTATGCTTCTGAAATCTGGAGGGTGAGTAATTATTGGGACCTTGTACAAAATGCTCCGAGCTCCAGCTTCTCTGAGAGGCTGCTTTGGATTGCAAACAAAGTTGATAGTGAGCATCTCCGAATTATTGCGTCTCTTGCCTGGGCTGCTTGGCATTGCAGGAACACGCACATTTTTTATGGGGCTGATGGCATTAATGCTGTTATGGTGGCTGTGGGTTTCTCGAAACTCTGTGCTGACTATGTGTGTTACAATCAGAGAGTTAATGGGGCTATTATGAACACATCAATACCATCTCCATCCTCCTAGTCTCCACCTTCACCAGACTTTATAAAAGTCAATTTTGATGCTCATGTGATTAATAGTGGAGGTGTGCAATTTGGTGTGGTGATGCGTGATCACTTGGGTGCTTTAGTTACTGCTGCAGTAAAGAAGGTTGATGCGAATTGGTCCCCTAATATTGCTGAGGCAGGGGCTGCTAGATATGGGGTTGCTTTGGCTCGTAATTTGGGCTTTATGAAGGTGGTTCTCGAGGGCGATGCTTTGTCTATTATACGAGCCATCCAATGCAATCAAGATGGTGCTGCTCCTTTATTCTTGCTGATTAATGATATTAGGCAAATGTGTGAGGTGTTTTCTTCTTTCTCTTGCACTCATGTGAAACAAGCGGGGAATATCGTGGCTCATAATGTTGCTAGATGGGACATGAGTATTTCGAGTGAGCGTATTTGTATGAACTCCTTTCCCCAAAGCCTACAAACTTTGGTGGAAATTGATTTGATTTAATCTATGGAAGCTCGTTTTTGCCTTTAAAAAAATAAAGAATTCCCCTCATAAAGAAGGGTGTCGTGATGTTTTTTTTTTCATACTTATTAAAAAAAAATTGTGGACTTTTATTAGTACATTAGCTTTTGCCATGACATATTGCCCACTTATTAATGTATTTGAAGTTTTGAACATTTTGTACTAGGTTTAATAATTATACACTTGTGGGTTGTGGACTTGTGGGCCTGTGGCGATCTATATACACACAAGTTAGATAAGCTAATTAGCACATGCACAAGAAGAAGATTAGTGTTAGGTCTTGTTCTCATTGATTAAACACAACTAAACTGAACTGAATTGAGCTGAGCTGAAATGAATATTTTATAAGAGAAGAAAATTAGTTGATGAACTAGACTGAACTAAATTTCAACGTATGAGAACAGGCCCTTAATCTGTTAGACTTGTAGAGCTCCCCATGACTCCATTACTAATCCTAACAAGATCTCAACCCCATCACTTGATAAAACTCCAAAGCCAAGCCTTGCTTGGTACTCTCCATGATTCCAATAGCTTGAGAGCTATTGAACGGTGAACCTCGACATTTAGTGTCTCACCATCAAGCAATTTTCTCACGCTTTATTGTTTAGACACGTGTGTAAACGTGTCAATTGATCAAAAAATACTCTAGTGTGAAACACTATTTTCGCCCTTTTTAGGAGATTTATTTGTTTTGGGGGGTTGAACATTAAACCAATGACTCAATGATATAGTAGACAATCACATTAAGTGAGAAATTGTCTCGCTGTTGCCGTAACCAAACAAGACTACTCCAGGATTTTTTACGAAACTGAGCCCTATTAGCAAACTATTTACGAATATAGACACGTGGCAAAACTATTTACGGAATTGAGCTTCTGAGGTAAAACGCTGCCTCGGTCAGCGTTTTACCTCTGTTATTATTTTTTTTAAAATTTCTTATTTAGTGAAATACAAATTTTTTTTTTAAAAAATATGGAAATACATAAAAACGCTGCCTCAGTCAGCGTTTTTGTCTCAAGCTGTAACTGCCCTTAAAACGCTGACTGAGGCAGCGTTTCATTAATACTAGAAAACCGCTGCCTCAGTCAGCGGTTTTGCCTGGTATATTTTTCGCACACTCACTCTTCCTCAAAACTAAAAACTCAAACTCACTCTTCCTCACGCAATATCCTATCTTCCTCAAAGCTCTGTCGTCGCCGTCGCCGCCTGCTGCCTGCCGCCGTCGCCGCTGCCTATTGCCTGCTGCCGCCGCGCCTCTCCTCTTCTTTATAATCACATTGTTAGTACTTCTCACTTATTTGTTTTTAAAATTTAAAAACCTAGGTTAGTTTGATAATTATATACTACATTGTTTTAATTTGATAATGTTGTTGTTTATTCTAAGTTAGTTTGATGTAAATTGACAATTATGTTGATAATTCTAAGTTGGTTTGTTGTAATTTGATAATTGTCTAGTATAAAAGCCCTAAATTGATGTTAGTTTAGTAAGAAAGTTTATGATGAAATTGTGGAAATATTTGATAAAATTGTTGAAAATGTTGATGAAATTGTTGATAATGTTGATGAAATTGTTGTTTTAGTTTGATAAAGTAGCCTACATTGTTGTTTAATTACGAAAATTTTGTTATGTAGAATATGTTGGTTGTTATAGTGTGAATATGTTCGTTGTGTACTTTGTTGTGGTTGTAATGTGAATTGGAATAATGTTGGTTAATTATGTTTATAGTGTGAATATCTTGGTTGTTTTTGTGCGAATTGGTGGAGATTGCATGCAATTAAGATGTGTTTTTGGTTGTTGTATAGAATATGGCTGCACAAAACGCAGCTTTGTTATGCCGATGGGGGGTGAATTTGTGTCTGATGGACCAAATGTCCAGTATAGTGGTGGAAATATGGAACCATTGCCACTTGGACCGGACATGACTTTCAACGATCTGATGAACGGGGTTCATAGCATTATTGGCTTAAACCCAATGAATGTACAACTTAACATTCAAATGAGGTTTGAGACTAATAATGCGGTTCAAGTGTTACCTTGTTCTAACGATAGACATTTGAAAGCTTTGAGGAGCGCTGTTTTAATGAGGGGTTATCCACATGAGATATATGTAGAAATAGTGTCTACGTGTACGCAACAAAGTACTCGACCAGATCAACAAGCTACCTATTTTTCCGGTTACACAGAGTCCTTCCGAATGCCCTCACAAGACATTCCATCAACTGAATATGGGATGGGGTCCTTCAGCAGACTGCTTCATGACGATCGGTTCCAGATGTCGTTGAGTTCACATATAGCTTCACCTGTATATGGTGGAACATCTACGACAATGTTTGGCTAATCTGGGCCTTCGACATCGAACACAGTTATATCTTCTCCCATGCAACTCCAAAGTTATTCACCTACGCAGCATGATGATCATACATCACCGTCTCAACCATTGGTGAATCATCTTGAAAATCTACAACATATGGTGAATAACGAGTTGTCTCTGTATGATGCGCTCCGGGAAACAAATGATGAGGCTGATGTAGTAGAATAGTACGGTGATTGTATTTCTACATTTCAAATGATTGTAACAGTTGGATTTTTAAATTGAAGTATGAGATTTGATTATAACTGTTATCGCTTATATGTAATTTTTACTTTTCAAATGTTATCGCTTATATGTAATTTTTACTTTTTAATTGTTGGATTATAACTGTTTATGAACAGATACCATGGACACCCGGACCCACCGACCCTTCTGTCCTTACACTACAGGACACACATCGTAGCGTTGACATTTGGAGTCAGTCGGTTGATCCGGCGGGCATACTGACATGCAGGCACTACACTGTCGCGTTCCTTGGCGATTGGGTTATCGATCCCCGCATTCTGCCTTTCGTGGAGTACGCTGGCTTCATGGGTATACATCGAATGGCGTTCAGAGAGGTCGAGCCAGCGCTTGTTACTACGCTTGTGGAGAGATGGAGGCAGGAGACGCACTCCTTCCATCTACCTGTTGGGGAGGCGACCGTGACGTTGCGAGACGTGGCGATACTCACACGGCTTCCCATTCATGGGAGTCCGGTGTCTGGATTTGCGTTGGTCGATCCCCCTGGTTATGTAGCTCAGGTTCTCGGGGTTCAGCCAGGACCGGACGATATCAGGGGCGGCGGATTAAGGACCGGCTGGATACGCGACACTTTTCGTGTGTTGCCTTATGGTGCTGATGAGGCCACTATTGCGAGACATGCTCGAGCGTACCTTT